TTATTATTGGCATTTCTATAGCACCGACAATGTAGGCATTATTTCACATGTGCACATTCACATCAGTCCCTACCCTCAAAGAGCTTACAATCTAAGGTCCTTATCTCACATGCATACATACGAGGGCCAATTTAGACAGGAGCCAATTAACCTTCCAGCATGCCTTTAGAGTGTGGGAGGAAACCAGAGTACCCAGAGCAAGCGCAGAACATGAAAACCCCTTGAACATAGTATCCTGACCGAGATTTGAACCATGGACCACCCACTACGCCACTGTGTTGCCCAATTAACTACCTCCCGGCCAGCCGCTGTGTATACACGGCCTGCCGGGAGCTTCTTGGATGTAACTGGGCGTGTATACACGTCCTGTTACATCCGCCCGCTCGGGCGCGATAAGTAAAAAAAAAAATAGTAAAAAAATGTAAAGTTTCACCCCCAATTTTTTTTAAAGTTACACAAAAAAGAATTTAAAAAAACAAAAAAATGTTTTAAAGTCCCCACCCCTACATACACGCATGTAAAGGTGCGCATACCTGTGAAAACGACGATTGCACCCATTACGCCGCACATGTTACATATCGCCGCGAACGTCGGAATGAGAGCAATAGTTCTAGGGCCATCAATCACTGATAACACTAAACTGATGAGCGGTAAAAGCTTTTAAAGCGTCGCCTAACAATGATTTTCAGTTCAACAAAATAATCTCTCTTATGTATACACAGGTTCTGCTCTGATCACAAAATCAGGTTGCTGAATATAAAGGTTGCCCAGATGTTTAGTATGTATTTTGTAAATAATCTGTCAGACTTTGGCCACTTCAGCTCCCATCCTATATAGTAAAATATCTAAGAATTCTGAGGTAAGAGGCCCCAGGACATATCTGCGAGTGTCAGTTTGAAATATTATCAAGTATAAGAGATTTTCATTTCGCAGCAATCAGCAAAGTGAGAGCATAATATTGAGCGCTATGATAACATTGTTGATATTGTAAGCCAGGCGGAAATCCCTAGAAGATGACAAGTATCACACAGACACATCCTTTCATGGAGTTTTGTCTCTTCTTACAGAATATTTAGTAAATGTACTTTATGTAACCCCCATCTTGTTATGTTCCTTTTTCTATTTAGATATCATTATTCTAGCCTAGGCATTTCTAAATATTTTTTTATTTGAAAATAGTGATATGTTACAGAATAAGTGGCATTGCACTTTATGCAGTGCAGCTTGTTTTCAGGTTTCACTTGCATTTAGCATCATTTAAGACAAAGTGAATAATTTGGCACCAAGCTCACTATACATAAATGGACCATTTAAATGGTGCCAAATGATTCACTTTAATGTCACTGCAAAGGACAAGGGGGCACTCTTTGTGTCTGGAGGAAAAGAGGTTTAACCTTTGCATACGGAAAGGATTCTTCACAGTTAGAGCTGTGAAAATGTGGAAGCGACTCCCCCAAGAGCTAGTTCTAGCCAGCTTAGTTGCTTAAAAATAAAATCTGGATGTATTCCTAAATGCACAGAATATTACTGGATATTGAGTTCTTATAGGTATATTAAGCATCAGAGATTGTTGATCTAGGGAATATCTGATTGCCTTATGGGAACAGGAAGGAATTTTTTTCCACTGTTGGAGAAAATTGAACCATGCTTTATAGGGGTCTGTTTGCCTTCCTCTGGATCAACATTGGGTAATTGGGGGCATAGCGTTCTGTTTAGGCTTTTCTTCTTTTTTTTTTCATATCTCTATAGGTTGAACTCGATGGACTTGTGTCTTTTTTCCAACCTGGCAAACTATGTAACTATTCTTAGTGAATTGACAGGTGCATTTGACCTGCAGTTGACCTCCTGCTGACCTATATTTAAACTATCGTATTTTGCGGTCCATAAGATGCACCGGACCATAGGACGCAGGGAGGTCCGGCGCGCCTTATGGAGCACTCGAGACTGTAGCTTCTGTGACAGCTTCTATGACAGAAGCTGTGACAGAAGCTGCAGTTAGTGACCGCTGAGACAGGTGGCGCTGTGATTACAGCGCCGCGGTCTCAGTGATCACACAGAGCAGGCGAAGAAAGTCCGTTCTTCGTCTGCTCTATGGTTATCTTGATCGCCGCCGCTGCTCTGTTTTAATACGAGTGATCTCATTAGATCACTCGTATTAAACGAGCAGTGGCTCCAGCTGCTGAACTCGATCGCCGCCGCCGCTGCTCGGCTTTAATACGAGTGATCTTGTTAGATCACTCGTATTAAACTAGCAGTGGCTCCTACTACTCGCCCGGCACCCGAAACTGCATGTCTCGGGCGTCGGGATTCGCTCCATAAGACGCAGGCACTGTTTCCCCCTCCTTTTGGGGGGAAAAAAGTGCGTCTTATGGAGCGAAAAATACGGTAAGTTGCATCAGCCTGCTTTTGTGTTCCCACCTGTATGGGGAGAGAAGCAGCCCTAATGTGAAGAAAAGCCGTCAGTACAGGCTCCCAATAGGGCTGTGCATGTGTTATTTCAGGTCACACAGGGCTTGGTGAACAAATTGCCTGGGAGCTAAGTGGCGTAAAAAATTTGGATTTGAACTGTTTGGGATATATTGAATACTTGAGCCCAGTGCCAGAGTGCAGTCTTCCTGTCATGTGTCCTATTATAAGCACAAGATCTAAATTAGACGATTCTGCACAAATACGATTCGATAAGATTCTGCGGTAGATACAATCAAACTATGGTGGACTAATCAAACCTAGCACAGAATTCTGTACTGTACAACACATGGATAGTCAAGGGTGTGGAATTCCTATTGCCTGATGCCCGGTACATGCAGTTCCAGGCGCTGAGCGGGTAGTTTTTTTTCTACATTTAGCCCTACTTCAGGCAAGCAGCAGGGCTAAATGTAGAAAGGGAGCCTTTTTGTACAAGTGATCTTGAGCAGATCACTTGTTAGCAGCCTGACGGTAAAACAGAAGTATCTTCGATATACATTTTATTGGCAAATATTTTACTTCGAAAATGTCTTATGAAAGTAAAATGGAAATCCCTATTAACCAGTAACTAAACAAATTCTTTTAAAAACTATAATGGATTGCAGTCAGTCATCAAGATGTGCCATCATTGCTTAACATATTAACTGGTATTATAATGTAATGAGAATGCTTCATTAATTAAAGCAGAGAAACAGCTTTTAGTGCCTGTAATGTTTCATTTGGGATTTGAGCACATTATTCACCAAGCTTTTTCACCCAGCGAGAAGGCAAAATGTGGTGTTAGAGCCTAAATCCAGTTTACAATTTTTTTCTCAAAAATGTCCCTTAGCCTGTGTTAAAGAAGAAAGCAGTTATGGCTGCAGTAGCTACTGCTCGAAGATGTGACCCGCAGTACCCCTTTATAGCCACAAGATGTCCTCAGCCCAGCATCATCTCAACCTAGGAATCTACTGTAAATGCAGGGTGTCATTGGCCTGCACCCTGGGGAGGTGTCACCATGGCGCTCTTTATTCACAGCAGAGAAAGGCGCTGACATTATCACATCAGTGCACTCCAATCCCCATCATCTGAACAATCAGGTACTGTTGCTACGGAAAACTGGGAGCAGATTTGTTAATCAGGAATAACAAAAGTCCCTGCGGTTGTCATGGGCAACATGGTTAACCCCGATCGGGCTTTGGAAAAGGGGCTAGACTGCCTAGACCGTATGTCAGACCACCTCAGGAGCAGGGGTTGGGCAAAGGTTCCCACACAGACCCCCTGGTCAATAAGGGACTGAACCGCCTCAACACATTTTAACAAGGCCTCTTCTGAAAACTCAGAGTAATTTTCAAAAAACCCGGCAGGATCATCCTCTAATAACCACACTAGTGACACAACCTGTGATAGGGTATACGGAGGGGAGAAGTCATCACCCTCATCACCTCTCAGTGCAAGTTTGGTACAAATCTGGATTAGGGGTTGGATATCCCCAAAAGGACAACCAGTTATATCCATGAAACAATGAGCCCTGCGGACACACTCCAATAGGTCTGCTCTGGGGGAACCCTGGAATATCTGTCGGCAGCGCTGCCTCAGATGCTAAATGCACATAATAACGCATGCTCTCGAGATCCATTTTGACACCGGAATGGCTCCGAAAGCCAGCAGGTCCCCGTGTGGTCGATTTGGTCGTTTTGTGGGCTCAGGATTCTGTCAGGGATACCGGCACAGGTGACCCTGCACAGGTACCCATACAGGCGGACCAAACACGTGTGACCACACGGACCAGGCAAGTATGGTATATATAAATATTTTAATAAACTTAGCAAGCTAACAGAAACAATCCACAACAGGCATAACCAATAATGTAACCCCCAACACCTAGAACATACAACGGGTGTAACAACACAGGAAACAGGGCCCAGGGTACAAGATAGCATACAGGTATCAGGGTCTCAGGGTTCAGGCCAGAGGACTCAGACAACAGGGGAAGGCAACGGAATCCTGAGCCAAGGTCCAGACTGCAGGGAGGGTTTAAATACCCTCCCAGGAGCAACATCTAATGGGCTGATTCCTGGCAGCTGGGAGACACCCACAGGTGAGCACTGGAGCTGCAGGTACCAGCACCACCCAGTGGTGGTCTGGCACCTAGCAGCCCCTGGCTGCCTGGAGAATCCTGCAGGTGAGCCCAGGAACTGCAGGGCTCAGCTCCAGCGCCACCTGGGGGCGCTCTGGATCCTAACACTAGCTGTCTGTCTATACCTACCCCTGTATACATTACCAGGTTATGAATGAGCTGCTCCCCCAGGACATGTTTGGTTACATGGGAATGTGAAGCAGATATTATACAGTATATAGGCAGCCAGTAGTGATCAGAGACTAGCTGTCTGTCTATACCTCCCCCTGTATACATTACCAGGTTATGAATGAGCTGCTCCCCCAGGACATGTTTGGTTACACAGGAATGTGAAGCAGATATTATACAGTATATAGGCAGCCAATAATGATCAGAGACTAGTTGCCTGTCTATACCTCCCCCCTGCATACATTACCAGGTCATGGATGAGCTGCTCCACCAGGCTGCTGCTCCTGTCATGGTAGCTCGGCTTCTCTTCCTTCCCTGGTGTAGTGACTGGCCCGTCGTCCAGCAAACTCTCCGCCAGCTGCAGGAAGCGGCACCCAGCTATTTCTGTGTCCCAGGCCGGAGATCCGGGTAGACATTTCCTGAGCGCACCTTCTTCCCGACTCTGGTAAGCGGGCTCCGGGCTTTCTCCTGACCGTCGGCGCTTTGGCGATAGCGGGCCGGCCGGGGCTGTGGGTTCCCCGCTTATTTCTGCCCTCCAGCGCCTGCGGAACTCCACTAGAGAGGCCTCCAAGGCCATTGTGCCACCACACTGTCACCTCATACCGGGGTCCGAGCACGGGAATAATTGTTAAGGGAACGAGTTAGCGAAGTGAACCGGTGATGTGGTGTAACCGTGAAAGACGTCCGACTAGGAAATACAGCCTTGTACATTGGTTCCCATGGCTTGCTATGCTCCATTCTATTTGGAGTTCTGGCATGCCGCTGCCATCTCTCTGAACTGGCAGGACAGTCTATTTCCTGCTCACATCACATGCTACAATCTGATTGTACAATCTCTTTTAGATTACCAACAAGTATTCTATAGTGCATGGAAATTAGGTAGGCCCTCATATTACATTTTGGTTAATCTAAAGTTTATTGTACACAGACTGTATGGTCAGATTGTAATATGTATGATGACCCTCATTTAGATCTCTATAGCACTGTAAGTCTCCATTCACACCTAGACGTCAACATGCACATCTTTCCCTTGAATGCTTTGTACGTATTTGTGCGCGTTTTGTAAATTTTTACGATTAGGGTCACATAGGCAAAGACACGCGTTTTCTTAAGCAGATCCAAATGCATTGCTGTGAATGAGGGAACGTGCGAGCAAACATGCAGAAATGTGCAAAACGCTTCTGTTCGCATGTTTTAATGCATTTCCATTGAAGTGCTGCGATCTACCAGAAAGAAGCTTGTGTACCTTTTGCAGTGTTTGGCATTTTCCAGCGTGCAAAAAAACTCTCAAGTGTGAACGGGGCCATAGAAATGAATGGGATTTCTTGTGTTGAGAGTTTTGTCGCACTTAGCTTTGAGCGTCAAAACGACCAGGTGTGAACAGGGACTGAAGGTGGCCATACACAGTGCACATTTCAACCGGCTTTTGAGGAACTGGCCGATATTTGTACAGTGTGTGTCAGCACCTTTCGGCCGGCATCCTGTGATCAGCTGGTCGAAGGAGCCGGTCGGAAAATCTGCATATGAACAGAGCTAGCAGCTTCCTCAATCAACGCATGCGTAGTGTTGATGGAGGAATCTGCTCTTTTTTTATGTTCAGCCCCATCCTGAGTCAGTGGTGCTTTGAAAATATCACTCATCGGTTTGACTCAGTGACCCTGGAAATATCCCGATGGCTCCAACACTTGCCAATCAGCACACTGTATATGAAAAGAACAGTTACCTAACTCCAGACAACACAATTCCCCTGTTAACTCCACTTCTCCTGCTCAGCAGTAGAACCACCCTGCAAACTGCCATTTTTATGGCACTGATGGGCCCAAGGAAAACATCTCATAAGTGGATGGGAACCTTCTCACCTTTTTATCATTCTCACAACTTACTTTTTATTTCCACCAACACAAAAAAAGCATATCATTGCTAAATATAGACACTATCTGTGAGTACTTGGACAAGTATTGGTACTTGGTCTGTAAAAAATTATATCGCTGCATCCATAATAAATATATATATAACAAATCATACCTTTAAAACAGGGACGTTTCGCTCACTTAGGGATCAATAGAGCCGACGTGTGACAGTTTCAAGGTCACACGTCGGCTCTAACTATGAGGATGAGTGTAATTCACTCACCCCATAGTTCTCCTTTAACTCATGAGTTCAGTGTCACTTTAAAAGCGAGATGAAGGTGTTGATAAAAGAAAAACTAGTTAGTTAACTAAAATATGGTTCTCCAATTTTTCTCTTAAATAAAGACAATAAAATGTAACAATGCAAAAATGAATTAACACAAATTTAAATAGTTTGCATACAAATGATTAAAAAAAAAAGCAGCAGCTTAATTGATAAAAAAAAACAACTTTTTAACAGCACTTAATAGTACTTTATGAATAAGAACTACAGCCTCACAACATAAAGGACAGCAGCTGCACCAGTGGTAGTTTTGAAGGATCTGTCTTCATCCTGTCACATAAAGAGGGCTTGTCTAGACCTGCAGTATAGCTAGATATGCAGCACTGGACATTTTTTTTATTCTTCATATTCATTGTTTTTTATACTGTATATATCAGTATACCTGACTTAGGCTAAAATATGCAGAAAAAAAATCAAGTCTTAAGTTGAGGCACCTGTGCTAGTAATATAAGATTGATTCTTGGAACTAAGGGTTATTCACAAAAAGGTGAAGAGTTTGGAGAAGTCAGGAGAAGTGAACAATCTAGGACAACATAGCTGATTTAGAAAAGTTCTCCAATTCACCTCACTTTCCAATTCAGCTATGTTGTACTAGATTGTTCACTTCTCCTGCCTTCTCCAAACTCTTCACCCTTTTGTGAATGGCTCTGTATGTGATCAGTGATAAGAGGCTTCCTGCAGTCAGTCTGTCTAAGCACATCCTAATGACATACACTGTCCTCCAGCTTCTAAGTAACCACGATGGTATCAAAGGCAGGGTCCTTAAATTTTTTTTTTTATATATCTCTATGAATAACAGGGACACAGCCATTAATAGAAGATCAACCAAAAAGCTATTTTTCCACTTCTGGATTAAGAACTTTGGCTAACAATTTTTCTTTCTTCTATCATGCAGCTGACGGGCAGACAAGCTGGATTCCTAGACCTTGTAGTCTTTCCAAGTTGAGACATCAAGCTCATTTGTCTCCTAGATCAGGTTTCACTGCGATAGTTCTGCTCTCTCTATGCAACGGCAAGCCTATTATGTGCTTATGTGCACTGGATTCACCTATGACAGCATAAAAACAGATCTTACTTGTCACAGTGGCGTATATCATTAATCAAGAAGGCATTAAAGCCTAATGGCGGTGCTATAAATACACTATATACTACATTGAGCTAGGTTTACATTAGGGATGCTCCAATACCATTTTTCCCTCTTTTCCTCAAGTACTCGCCAATACCAATCACCGATATCTTTTTTTTTTAGTGTCATTTGACAGGAAACAACAGGAAAAATACCGGGGTTTCTGAGCGATATGACACCATGGCTTGAAGTTTTGAAAATAGATTTTTATTTAAATATCACACATAATGCAAAAATACATACAAATTTGAACAAAAGAAAGGGAGCAACGGCAGTTGCAACCAGTTAAAAACAAAATTAAGCCAGAGGCATAGACCCATTAAACATGTTCAGACATAACCATAATAAATCAATATAATCTATAAGTCCATTCCCTACGCGTTTCGCAACTTGGCTTCTTCAGGGGATTATGACCTACCCTAACAAAAAATAATAATGATGCATTCGATTAACATGAATCCACAAAGTTGTTAGATCTATTTTCGAGTATATAAAGTGCACAGGATATATAAAGACATGTGTCTGGGTTTTTATATATACCCAACGGAGAGAGTCCCACCACCGTATGTCAAATTTACTCACCACCCAAATGGAGTGGCTTACTGAGGGTCTAGCTTTCTTATGGAGCCTAGACATGTTAGGGTAGGTCATAATCCCCTGAAGAATCCAAGTTGCGAAACGCGTAGGGAATGGACTTATAGATTATATTGATTTATTATGGTTATGTCTGAACATGTTTAATGGGTCTATGCCTCTGGCTTAATTTTGTTTTTAACTGGTTGCAACTGCCGTTGCTCCCTTTCTTTTATTCAAATTTGTATGTATTTTTGCATTATATGTGATATTTAAATAAAAATCTATTTCAAAAACTTCAAGCCATGGTGTCATTTCGCTCAGAAACCCCTGTATTTTTCCTGTTGTTTTGTAATCAATATATTTTATGGGGAGAGATTACACCTGGGGGGCCATGGGCCTGGCTACCCACAACTGTCTTGTAGACAGTTTTTCTAAAACAATACAGACTAATGATTTTAGGACAGTTGGGGGCACCAGGGCCCAGTCGCAGCTGCAACCACTGCGATCTGGGCAGTTCTGCCGCTGACTCCAAACTGTAGGAGGACTACAAATCTCAGCAATACATTATACAGCAATGCAGAATGGCACCAGCTATACAGGACTACAAATCTCAGCAATATATTATACAGCAATGCAGAATAATAACATCAGCTATAGAGGACTACAAATCTGCCGGCCTGATGTATCGTGCAGAGGGTTTCAGGAAGGGTCTGAAGGGTTTTAGGAAGGGTGCAGAAGGTCTCAGGAGGGTAAGATTTGCCGCCTGCGCTGTACAGGCTCAACATGGTTCCCAAGAACGCTGCTGTGTGGTCCTCTGCAAGCGAGGGACCTTACCGCAGCCACTTCAATTAAAAATTTAAAGCATCGGTTTTGGGTAGCAGCATATCTTTATCGGTGCATCCCTACTTTGCATGCTAGGTGTAGACAGCTGGCAAGTGGACTATCTTAACTGTCAAAGTCTAGCTGTCTTTGTCTTGGCTCAATGCAAATCTACACAAGTTTGTTGACAGAGTACAGGATCCACTTGCCAAAGTGATGGATGTGTTAGTAACTCAATGGGATGGGTACAGCCTGATTATTGCTTATCCACCAACGAGACCTCAACCCAGACAATAACACAGGATCAAATCAGAGTGAATTCCAGTAATCCTTGTGCCTCCAGATTGGTCTTGAAGGGTTTGGCATGTGGATCTAGTTCGTCTACCCCACAAATGTCCAAACTGTGGCCCTCCAGGTGTGGTGGAACTACGAATCCCATGAGGCTTTGCAAGATTCTCATAGCCACAGACATGACTCCCGGAGAGAGATGCTTCATGGGATTCGTAGTTCCACCACAGCTGGAGGGCCGCAGTTTGGACATCCCTGGTCTACCCGCAGGCGCTCCCTGCTATCTTCGAGATCAACTGGACCTCTTGTCTAATGGACCAGTTTTCAATCCTGCTTTGAGTTGCTTGTTTTAAGGGCATGGTTTTTTTAAGTCCAGGGTTTAGGAGAGAGGTGACCTTCAGAATCTGTGGCTCTCACCATGTTAAAGGCTTGTAAGTCTACCTCTTGAAAGATTTGCTATCACACTTTGAAAGCTGTTTTCAAGTGATGCAAGGCTTTATGGGCAAATCCCCATTCTTTTTCTGTTGGTACGGTTTTTACTCTTCCTTCAGCAGGTTTGGATCAGCACTTCAGTTTTGCAGAAGCCACCATTCAAAAACGTTTGAGAAATTTCATTACT